AGACCCTCGTGCAGACCTTCCTCTGCCTTATTCCTGCTGAAACGCCGTCTCCCTTCTGGTCAACTAGACACGGGCTCACCTGGCTCTGACAAAGGGCAGGCAGGCTGCCCTCACAAGCATGTGACAGGAGGCCAATCTGCAGGGCGTCCGGGTGACACTGGTGACATCCTTAGGACAGGTGCAGAAACTGAGGCTTACAGGTTCAGTATGCTGCCACACCCACCCAACAGGTGAATGGTCAGGTTCACCACACCCCCCACACCCCCACACCCAGTTCTCCAGCTGGGGGGAGGAGGACTGGCCTGTGGGAGACATTCCCCACTTCCCTCCCTCAACCTAAAGGCCGGTAATAATCTCCCACTTTGTGCAGAGGAGAAAACAGAGGCCCACAAAGGTTCTGGAACTCCCCGGAGGTCTCAGGCTTCCGATTCTCTGTGCTGAGGACATCGACAAGCATGGGGTAGAAAATCCCCATGGATGGAAAACACAGATTATATGCAGCAGAGAATTTCCTTATAATCATGCTGTTCTGGGGACAAGGTTATAAACCAAGTTGTGCCCCAAGAGCTCAGAGGCCAGGCCATGGTGAGGTGTTGGGTGGAGGCGCCATGGAGGAGGGAAGCCAGCCTGGGCAGAAGTGAGGGAATGAAAATACCAGAAGGAAGGACTCCCTGTGAACAGAAGCCTGCCCGGAGCCCATGTTCCCTGTTTTACAGATGAGCCACACCGGCTCAAGCCAGAACACGAGAACGCAGGAATGAGGCACAGGTCTGGCTTCCCCAGGAGAGAAGCCATACCCTAGCTATACAGGTCCAGCCTCTGAAGCCCCCAAAACCCCCAACCGTCCCATGTCCATGTGCAGGTCACCGGGGCCCTGCCAAGGACCAAGCTCTGGGAGGCCTTCTGTTGCTGATGGGGCTTCCCCGGGAGTCTCCCCGAACCCAACAGACCCAGACTATCCCCGCCCAGAGGGACAGCAGGCCCAGGGTGGCAGGCCCAGACTCCGACACAGAGCCCAGGTCCTCCATGCAGTCCCATGGGACCCAGAGCAAGTCACTGCTCTCTCCAAGCCTCGGTTTCCCCATCTACAATATGGGACCACTTAGGAGCTCTGACCATAATGGAGCGGGGACTGGGAGACTCTGTCTGATAAACTGTGAAGTGCTGGGGACGTCCTGGCCCTCCCCAGGCTGAAGAGCCAGTGAGTCCCTCCAGGCCTGTCTTCCTTTTGTGATGGCCCTGGGGGTCCAACACCCCAAGGGCCCGGATGGAAGGTCAGGGTCAGGTTGGGGAGAGAGGGGGAAAGGCTTATCTAAACCACCCCCATTGTCTTCGCTGACCTTTGCTCCCAGGCCTGAATGGGTTTAGGAAAAGCCGTCTTATTAGTGATCCTGCCCATGGGGCGCTGAGCTGAGAGGCCCCTAATAAAAGACCTATTCAGGGCCAGCATGCCGACTCACGCTGTCTTTTTTAAAGGTCCAGACCACCCTCACTCCATCCTCCCTTTAAACCAACAAAAACACAAGCAGGAGGACAAAACCGTCTTATTTTGAGAAGCTCAAATTTTTAATCCAAACTTTTTAAAAGTAAACAGGGCCCGTGCAAAGGCTTGCTGGAGGTCCTAGTTTCTCTGGGTTATCTAAAGGGGACAGGGCCATGGCGATGGGGGGAGGACAGGATGCAGACACAGGGACTTGTGGGGGGAGGGTGGAAGAGGAGCAGGAGAGACCTTGTTGAAAATGCTTTTGTTTGAAAACTGGCAGTTCAAGGGGGCAAACCTGACTTTCGAGAGTTTGGGGTTGGTCTGCCTCAGTTTGCCCCACTGGGACCACAGCAAAGAGCCCTCTAATCCAGACTTGGGTCAGCTCAGCCCAGAGCTTGGTCAAAAACAAGGGAGGGGGAGGTCATTTGCATATGCATGCTCGCTGGCCAGGCCCAGCCCAGCCCAGGACTGCCCGGAATACAGATGGGCCCCCTCCCACCGCAGCCTCAGGGACCTCCCCTCCCATCCCCACCCCCCTCCCTCCTTACCCCCTCCCCAACCCATGGCTGCAGGCACACCCCACCGATTCCAAGAGGACTAGCAGGCCACAGGCCCCCCGGCTCGTCAGCAGATGCTGTGGTCCCAAACACTCAGGCGAGCTGTCTGAACAGCAGAGTTCTGAACACAACACCAAAGTCTGCCTGGCAAGCCCCCAAAGTGGTCCCTCTGGCTTTTTCACGAGGAGCCTGGGAAGAAACAAACATGATGAAAATTCTGACAACTACTGAGACTTACTGCGTGCAGACCCTGACTGCCCTTGGCCGCGGTGGCTGAAGGGGGCAACTCCGGGTTTGGCCCCACTTTGCAGAAGAGCAGGCGGAGGCCCAGAGAAGAAACCTGTCCCCTGAGAAAAGCAGGAGGTGGATTCGCACGCAAGATGGTGTGACCTCTCCGAGTGACAGGGTTATCAAGCATCTGCTCAGTGGTCACCGATAAGGAAGTGACATTTCCCAGAATGGGTGAACCAGAGCAAATCTGGGTCAGGAACTGAGAATAGGGAGTCACCAGTGCTGTCTGCTGACTAAGAGTGTTAGACAGTGACAGAGGCCAGAGATGCAAGGCAGCTGTCAGCCTGAGCCATGTAAGAACGCCCCCAACTCCCAGCAGCCCCACCCTGGGGGACCCCCCCCACACCCCCAGCCTCCCACTGGCAACCCCACCCAGGCAATGGGGAGCAGAGACACTGCCCGTCTCCACGGTTTCCCCAGGCAAGGCTCAGAACCTTCCTTAGCCTCCACTTGATTGGTCTGAAAATGGGAATACTACTACCTCCAAGGTTCCTGGGAGGACAAACTGAGACCAGCTCGGGGGAGAGGGGGCAGACGCCCAGCATCTGACCCCACTTTCTCCACCACCCAGACTGAGGTGCATTATCTTTCCTACCTCCAACTCCCTCCTCCCTCTACTCAAAACTACCTAAAAGGCATTTTGAAGAGAAGGGCCTCTCCTTGTTTCTGGCCATCCTGTTCCCATTGCTGAGGGACTTGCTCAAGGCCACGCATGACTTGAAGAGACCACACTAAACACCAAGCCGCCTGTAACTGAAATTGGTGATAACAGGGCTCTCGCCCAACACCAAGCTTGACCCCCACTAGACCGGTGGCAGGCCTGTTCCGAGTGAGCACGGGACCCAGGGGGCTATGGGAAGGCCATGGCCTCTGCAGGAAAACTGGACACCTCAAGTCCCAGCCACCCCCTGGTCCCCTGCCCCGGCACCATCCCCTGCTGTGGCCCAACACTGAGCCACACAGGGGCCACGTCTCTGTGTCCCAAGCAAGAAAGAAGTTCCCTGCAAAGACACTGCGACGCTGGGCACTCCAGAACTGTGCCAACAGCCCCTCGAGCCAGGTGTCACTGATGACGCAGCCGAAAACTAGCAACATTTCCCAGCCAAGGGCTGCGGCAATCCCTCCTGGCACTTGGGAAGAAACTGAGGCCCAGAACCGGGCCCCTCACGAGGCCCCCAAGAAGGCGAGGCCAGAGGGGCTGGGACTGGGACCCCTGACTCCCCAGCCCTAGAAACCCCCACAAATGAAACCACCAAACTCTGAGCTGCTTCCTCTGGCCTCCAGCCTTCTGTGGTGGGAGGTGGGGTCGGATACAGAGTTACAATGGGAAACCCGAGTGCGAGTGGTAGATTGCTAATCGGGTAACAAAATATCCCTCTCAACCCAGTCCTGCTCTGAACTCAGAGGCTGTGAAGGTAAATAAAGGAAAATTTGAAGGAAAAATTGCGGCTGGCGAGCACCCCACCTGCATGGGTCCGGTTCCCACCTCAACACCCCACATAGGCCACTCAGCCACCAAACCAGAGAGACAGAGTCCCTCCTCTGCTCAGGCGTCACTCTGGGGAAGAACAGTCATTTAAAGCCTAGACACATTTTTCTCTGAACCAGGAAAGCCTTTAAAGTGAACCAGAAAGGGCTGTTTAATCTCCACCTTCAGGCAAATAGCTCAGGGAGTAGCAACTGCCACTAGAACTGGGAGCCAAGCCACCAAAAATGTGGAAGAACAGGGAGGGAGGGAGAGGCACGAGTGGCAGGAGAGCCACGGCTCGGGGGCTGGGAATGGCAGCGGAGGTTCTGCTCTATAAACCCAAGCTGGGGCCCCATAGGTCACATGGGCGTGGAAGACACTAGCCAAGCTTTCCTGAGGCCAAAGGTCCTCCACCCACACCCAGGCCACCTACCACCACCACACTTCCTCTAAGACGACCAACAGTTTACAGGTCCCTTGGGAGAATTTTTATCTCCCCCTCAAATCCACAAGGCAGGGATCTACTCTACTCTACAGATCAAGGAAACTGAGGCAGGCAGAGGAGAAAAGCCAGGACCCATTCCAAGCACATATTCCTCTGGAAAGTCTTTGAGCCTCGGCTGAGAAAGGTCCGCACACCTTGAGAAGTTCCAGACTGATAACAAACTAGAGGCTCCGGGCCGCGTTCCTCTGGCCCGGCTGCCTGGCAGTCTCAGCCCGCAGGCGGCACAGAGAACCGCAGGTGGAATTCCAGCCCCCCACACGCACGGACGCTACCCAGGTTTGGGGTTGCCTGTTGCTCCAAATAAGAGGGAAATTCACTCAAAGGGCCTTTCTTCCCCCGCCCCCACGCACCTCCCCCCGCAAGAACTGTCCACTCCTGGACCAGGATTTCCAGGTTGGGATGAGGCTCCCCAGCCGGCCTTGCAGTGTCGACACGAATGCTGATAATTCCACAGGAGAGAAACTTTTCTGGGGTCCAGTGGGTCCCCAGCCCGGCTGCGGACTTGGAGCTGGGCAGGGTCACGCCTCCATCACTTGACCAGAAAAACGTCACCCAAAACCCCACTGCGGGTGGGCGCGGGATCCCCCAGCCCTTGGGTCTGGATGCCAGCTGGAGGAGGGGTCTGGAGTGGCGACCGCCCCGGGGGAAGGGGCCGTGGGCCTGAGACCCGCGCTCCCGGACCCGAGCCGTCCTTACCGTGCAGGCCGTTGGGGATGCTTCGGTGGTGCGGTGGCGCCGACAGGTCGTCCAGGGATCTGCGCGTGGCTACTGCCTTGCCGTCGGAGGCCTTGTGCGGCCCGGGGGGCAGCAGCGGGGGCGGGATGTGGTGGTGGTGGTCCGGGCTGCCTCCGCTGCCCGCGCTCGACGTGCTGCTGCCGTCGCCCACGTCGCGGGCCCCCGCGCCCGCCGCACCGCCGGCCAGCGGCCCGCTCAGGCTGGCCTGGCTGTCGATGGAGCTGCGGGAGCCCGCGCCGCCGCCGCCGCCGCCGCCGCCCGCGCCGCCCCCACCCCCCGCCAGCGCTGCGCGCTCCTCGTCCAGCATCAGCACCAGCTCCTTGAGCTCCAGGTTCTCACGCAGCAGGGCCTCCTGGCGCGCCTCGAGCTCGCGCAGTTTCTGCTGCGAGCGGGCCACCTCGTGCCACACGGCGCCGGCCGCGTGGCGCCCGAAGCGCTGCCACTCGCGCGCCAGCTTGCGCCCCTTCTGCCGGTCGTCGTCGAGGAAGCAGCAGAGCTCGCGTAGCTCCTGGTTGTCGTCCTGCAGCCGCTGGTTCACGTCCTTGAGGCCGCGGATCTCCAGCAGGTGCTGCTGCAGCCGCCGGTTCACGTCGCGCATCAGGCCGCCGTGCTCCAGCATGAGGCCCACCTTCTCGCCCTCTGCGCGCCGCAGCCGCCGCGCCAGCTCCTCCTTGCTCCAGCGCAGCAGCTCCTCGTCCGGCACCTGGCTCAGCTCCTCCGACGCCGCCGCCGCCGCCGCCGCCGGGGGCTTCGCCATGGCGGGGCCGTCACCGCGGCATCGCCCGCGCCCTAGCCCGGCCGGCGCTCCCCGCGCCGGGGCGGCGCTGGGCCGGTGCGCTCACGGGCAGGGGGCGGCCGGGGGCGCGTGCGGGCCGCCCCGCGCCTCCTCGCGCGCCCTCACGCAGCGTCCGCCCGGGGCCGCCCGGGAACCGCGGGTCTCGGGGCTCGGCGAGCTGGGACCGCTGCTGCGTCGGCGGCCGCCGTGCCGGGCGCTCTCCGGGTTCGGGCGAAGCAGGCGGAGGCCCGCCCCCGGCCCAGCTCCCGGAGCCCCGGCCGCCCCGCCCACTCCGGGCGGGGAGGGGGCGGGGCGCCTCGGCCGGCTCCGCCTCCGGGGGGGAGCGAGGGGACGGGCAGAGGCGCGGCCGGCCCCCGACGTCCCCCAGCGCCGTGCGCCCGCCCGCCCGGCGCCCTGCCAGAGGCGCATTCGAGCCTCGGTCCCGCCCCCCCGCCCATGCGATTGGGCCTCTTCGGGGGTGTGTGGGAGGGGCGGGGCGCACGCGGGGGACGCCGAGGAGATGGTACAGTCCAGCCACCCGGCTTCCAACCCCCCTCCGGGCGGTTCAAGTTTCTGCGCCCGGAGGACGCGGCCTTGGCCAATCCCTGGGCTACAGGGCGCTTTTAAAATGCAGGTACGGCTGCGGGGAGGGGACGGTGGGAAAGGTAGGGCAGGGCTTTCCTTAAAGGAGACGCGCGGAAATGGACGCCGAGCCCCCTCCCAGGCCTGCGTCCCCCGCGCACCCTCCTCCGCCCCAAATAAACAAATACCCGGGAGCCGAAGGACAGCACCGCTTCTCCCTCCCGGGGGCACCGGAGCCCGGCGTAGTGAGAGATACGACGAACAATGGGACTCTGACTGGGGGGTCGCTGTCCCCGGAGGCAGGGCGGCTCTTTGTCCCCTTCCTTGTCCCCGACTCCTCCGCCCCCATCTCCACTCCCGTCCCCTGCCTGAGCACGCGGAAGGGCTGCGTTTCCACTCCAGCCCAGCGCTGTGGCTCCTGCGTCTGCTCCCGGGAGGGCCAGGGCCTCGCCAGACGTGTCTCGGAGCACGGTCTGTACCCTCTCCACTGTCCCAGGGGGCCGAGGGCACAGGGAACTTGCCCCCCGCCCGGAGCCGCGTTCAGAGCACTGCCCCCCCGCCCACCCGACCGCTAGTCCCCGGGCTTCGAGGGAGAGTCAGGGATTCGGAGGAGGAGACCACTGGAGGGGATGGAGGAAGGTCTCCCACCGGGGCCTTAACGGCAGGGTCGGGGGTCGCCGACCCACCAGCAGAAACCCCGTCCCACCGGCAGCCTCGCCGGGCACCCGGGGTGTTCCCCCAGCCTGGGAGTCTGTCTCATTATCCTCGAGTCCCTCGAAGCGTGTTTACAGCGCGCCTGCTGCTGGCTGGTCCGAGGGGGGCGTCCCTCCCCGAGACCCGCAATAAGATAAAACCCGCGCGCACTCGACTGAGAGCCACCACGGCCTGGAGCGCGCGCCCGCGCAGCAGCTGATGGCCCCATTTCCAGTTGCTCAACCATTCGTTGGCCAACTGCGCACCCAGCACCTTCTCTACACCGGCCCTGTTCCAAACCCCCGGGCGATTCCGCAGGGCAGGACAGCAGAGGTCACTACCCTCTGGGGGGACGTTGCAGTCTCCCGGGAGGAGGAGAGGGCGATGATAAACACTAGATAAGCAGGAGGCGGCTCCTAAGTGCTGCGCAGGGGATTAAGACAAGCTGCTGTCACAGAAAGTGATAATCAGTTACTTTATTTTTTTTTTTTTAAAGATTTTATTTATTTATTTGACAGAGAGAGATCACAAGTAGACAGAGAGGCAGGCAGAGAGAGAGAGAGAGGGAAGCAGGCTCCCTGCCGAGCAGAGAGCCCGATGCGGGACTCGATCCCAGGACCCTGAGATCATGACCTGAGCCGAAGGCAGCGGCTTAACCCACTGAGCCACCCAGGCGCCCCGATAATCAGTTACTTTAGATCCCGTGGTCAAGGAGGACCACTCAGGAGGTGCATCTAAGCTGAGACCTGAGCAGAAAGGACAAAGATGAGGGGGGAAGAGCCCTCCAGGTGAAGGGAGGAGAGTGCAGAGGCCCTAGGGTTGGCCTGTTAGTCGCCTGTACAAAGAAGGCAGGTGGGGCTGGCAATGGGCCAGGGAAGGGCTGAGAGATGGGGTCAGTGGGGGCCAGACACTGCATGATTCTAAGGCAGCTGGGAAAGCAGTAGGGGGTTAGCGCCAAGCAACCTGACCTGATTTGCCTTTTAAGAGGCTCACTCTGGCCAGCTAGTGAAGGGATGGGGAGGTGCACAGAGAGGTCACTATTCAGTACCTCATTCCTCACCCATGCACCCCTCTTTCCAGGTAGTTGTTCAGGAGGGTGTGGTAGAGAGAGGATGAGTGGGAGGAGCAGAGCTCCGAGGGTGAAGCCCCAGAAGAGAAGGGTTCCCATGACTTGGCCCAGGTGAGCCCCAGTTCTCCATAGGCCCAGCCCAGCCTGGATGAATCCAGGTTTGGAAAGGGCTTCAGCTCATACCTGGGAGGCTGCAAGCCTGTCTTAGCCCAGGAAGCCAGATCAAGCAGCTCCTGAAGGCTGTGCGCAGAGCTGCTTCTGGGAGAGGTGAGAAGAGGATGTGTGGACTCACTAGGGAAGTGGTGGAGATGGGTAACCCTGAGCTCATGGGAACGCCCTTCTCACTGGTGCGTGGCCCCAGGCGGTTCCTGCGGCCTGCGTCTCAGTCCCATGCCTCTCCAGGGCCAGCAGCTTCAGAAAGAAATACAAAGAAAAACGAAGCCTGCATCTAGATAGGGTTTGTTTGCAGCACCACAGACTGTCGGACCCGGAGTCCCCCAGCCAGGACCCACAAAAGTGTCCCTAATGTCCCCCCTGGTGCAGCAAAGACTAGCACTAGAGATGATGATACCCAGTGGCCTGAGGGAGACTCTCTGCTCCCCGCACCTGTGGCTGCACAGGCTTGCGCAGAATGAGATCAGACATCAGGAGGTTGGGAGGGCCAAGCTAAGACAGGGTTCTGAAGCAAGAGGGACTGGTCAAGCCAGGTGCCCTCCCTAAGGCCCAATGTCCCTCAGGGTCCAGCAAAAGGTGCCAAGTTCCCTAGAACATTCTCGGTCCAACAGACCTTGTACTCCAAGCCATGAGCTCAGAAATGTCATGTGTCTTGGTGTCTAGCTTCCCGGTCATGACAAGCTCAGCTTTGTCATGAAAACAGTAAAACCGAATCATGGCTCTCTAGCACAGTAATTCTCTCGATGCCCCATATAAATAGTTGGGGGACTTTTAAATAATAAAGACATACCCCTGACTCTCCTGTTTTATTTTCCTTCAAAATCTCCCACTGCGTGTCCATTTAAAAGCACATAATTATTCCGGAGAGCCAGTATACAGACACATAATAGACAAACTATTTCAAAGCACAGGGTCCGTGCCCCTAGGAACTGCTAGTAAGACCACACTACGGCGGTCAGCAGCCTGTCTCCCCACTGGGAAGGGAGCCCAGAGCAGATGCCATTTGATGTTTGCAGGGTGAATGCACGGCCCTTCAGCACGTGACCGATTCAATCCGAGCCCCTCATTTTGAGGTTGAGGCAACCAGGCCCCAGAAGGGAAATGACTTGCTCAAGGTCACTTCCCTTCATTGGCTTACTGAACACGCCAACGTAGCATAACTCGGTAAGTATGTCTACATGAAAGTATATACACGCATCGACATATGCTTGGGCATATATGGAAAATGCTCTTGGCCACATTGCAGTGAGTACCCCAGAGAGACAGGTAGAACATACCATCAAGGAAGCATCCTGAAGCACCGGGCTGGGCTTCCTGGAGGAGGTGACATCTGAGTTGAAACTTTTTTGTTTTTCAGTAATCTCTACTCCCAACATGGGGCTCAAACTCAATGACCCCGAGACAAAGAGTCAAATGCCCTCCTGACTGAGGCAGCCGGGCGCCCCCTGAGTTGAATCTTGAACACTGAGTAGGAGTTTGTCAGATTTTGGAGGGGGCGGAGAGCATTGGGATAGTCCAAATGGAGGGAAATACACAAGCCAAGACCCCAAAGGTAGGTGACAGTGATCTGGGTGGGGGGCATCAGAGTGAGTGAGGCAGTAGAGCGGGGGTACAGAGGGCTCTGGGAGCTGCAGGGGGATGCATGTGTGGCCTCTCCTGGGGGCGAATAGTCAATAGCAATAATAACAAACCACCTACCCTTACCCAGCGCCCAGAACGAGCCAGGGGCGCGAGGCCAGCCCACATGCACTGATCAGAGCCACGCGCTCAGATGCTCATGAGTCCTTCTAGGATTCTATGTCCTTCGTCTTGGCTTGCTCGTCTCCACGAGGCTCAGATGACCATGTGAGCTTATGGGCAATGTTCAGAGGCGTGTGCACGCGCAAGGACTCTGGTCCGGACAGCCGGGGGAAGGTTGCCCGATGGCTGGATGTTTCTCTCTTCTCTGCTCACCCTGGGGGACCCTGAAAGCAGGGAGTCACCATGTAGGGCTGAACGGCCTCCGTGCCTAAGAAATCAGGGCCCGTGGAAAAGTGGCCATAATTGCTTTTTATTAAAAGACTCTATGTATTGATTTGAGAGAGAGCTTGGGGAGGGGAGGGGCAGCAGGAGAGGGAGAAGCAGACCTATGGCTGAGCTGGGAGCCTGATGCGAAGAGGGGCTCCATCCCAGGACCCTGAGATCACGACCTGAGCTGAAGGCAGACGCTTCACCAAGGCACCCAGCCACCCAGTGACCATAATTATTATTAATCAAGTGACTGAACACTTTCCATGTACCAGAATTGCTAGGGTTTTATACAGCTTTGCACGGATTATCTGACTGAGTCCTAACTGCAGCCCCATTAGGTGGGAGCCCTCCATCCCCCTTTTACAAGAGGGGAAACTGAGGCTCACCTAGGTTACGTCACTTGTCCAAGGTCACACAGCTTGCAAGCCAGTGAGCTGGGGTTTGAACCCAGGACCACCTGAGCCCAAGAGTGCCCCTGACCTCACACACTACTGCCTCTTCTCAGAGAGGCGAGTGGACCAGATGCTTTGGGCATCCCCCGCACTGTGGCTGTGGTCCTACCATGTTGGGGGCCTGCACTGTGCCAGGCCCACGGCCCCCCACACCGCTTCCTCCTGCTGCAGGACTTCCATGTTG